AATTTTAGTTCATGGTTACGTTGGAACGTTGGAAATGTAGAAAATCTCAGTATTCGGCGCGAAGCGCCGCTAACTGATTCGTCTAAATTGTAGAGTCCTAAGTTGAATGGGCATAGATTTCAAGTTGAAATATATGTGATGAAAAAATTTACAGTGAATCACTGTAAGTCCTGGGGGTGGAGTCCTGGGAGGATGCAGAACACAATCAATTCTGCGGCTCTGGAAGTAGGGAACGGAGCAGCTTAACAAGCTCTTCGTTTTGTAGTAGTTCTTTCATCTCTTTGAAGAGGAGCAGGAATCTGCTGGCAGCATCTTTTGTTGTCTTGGGTTGGGCTCTTCTTCTATGTGTGGGTTTTCTGGGTCTTGCACCGCAGTCCGAAAAACAGGCCGGGTGCTCACCATCGCAGTTAATGCCTTTGGCGGGAGTGGATATGGGTTTCGTACAAAGGTACGTAAGATGAGCTTCTGCGCATTTCATGCAGGCTGGTTCGGTGACTTGGCAGTTGCGCTGGGTGTGGCCATATTTCTGACACCTGAAGCATTGTGTCTGGAATCGTCCTCCTCTGAATCTTTCTACTATAACATCTCTCTCCAAAATGGAGCTAATGTTGTAGATTTTTCTACTGGTGGGCGTGTCCATCTGTATGATGAGGAAGAGTGGGAGGGGCCTAAGCTCCTGCCCACTCCTTTTACTAAGCTGAATAATCTTTTCTGGATGAATTCCAAATTCGATGAGATATTTTTCAAGGGCTGAAATATCCGTATCTGCTAGCAGTCCTCTGATGAGGGTTTTCAGTTTTGGTTTTGGAGCTATGTCCAGGGTTGGGCTGGGGTCCTCCGAATCGGCAGTTTCCATACTCTCAGTCGGTATTGTATCAGCTGGGATAGCGGGAGCTGGGACTTGAGTGGACTCGCTAACTGAAGTAATGTCAGGGAGCGTCGCCTGGTTGACACTCGTTTTCGCCTTTTTCCTCTTCTTCTTGTTTTTTTTCTCAGGGGGATCTGGAATTTCCGTAGTGTCCATTTCAATCGTTGGAGTAGGCACTGAGTCCTTGGTTGCGTCCTTTTCATCAGTCTTTTGGGCGTTGGGCACTGGATTGGCAATTGGAGTTTCATTCTTTCGATCATTCTCTTCCTTCTGCTTCTTTTCCATGGCGTTGAGCATACCTGTGGCTCCTGCGTCGAGGTAGAAATATATAGGATTTGTGCGCCAGTCTAAACCCCTTCGGAGTCTACAGTATTGATGATACCATCTTTCTAGTTCTTCCAGGGTAAACTGTAGGTAGTACTCTATCACTTCTTCCTTTTCCATACTCGTACTCGGGTGAAAGTATTTTAGGGGAATCCCACTTTTCGCAAGAAATTCCTCTGTTGAAGCTTGGTCAACGTTGTTCAGTAATCTGTGTCGGCCGGTGGCCGGGTAGACTTTTCCGCCCCGTCCTGTTCTATGATGCGGCATTGCTGCGCAGAGATAACACGTCTTGTCTCGTTCAAGGCTTGAGCGAATCCCTCTGGTCTGGTGCCAGCAGCGGGAGTAGCACAGAAAAGAATAAAAGAAGACAGGATAAATATATAAAAAGATGACGTCACAAGAGGGTTTAGAGCAACGGCCAATAGGAGGGAAGGGTGAATGGGTGACGACGAATAGGGAGCAAGGAAATAGGATTTTCCTTGCTTCCAGCACAAAGGTCGCCCTTTTGTGTATTTATCCCAGACTTACTTCAAAGTTTCTAAACTAAGGTAATGATAGAAGAAAGTTCAATTCGATCTGAGTACTAACCTTTATCCCGGGGAATCATACCCCAGTCCAGACTATACCATTTTAGATTGTTTTTTCTAATGATAAACTCAAAATAACTTGAACGAAAAATTCAGCTGCATGTATTTGCCGATTTACAAGTTTTAATACCTTTTAATTTCCTTACCGATTTTGAATTTATCTGAAATGGGAACATACTTCTTAAAGGGAAGACAAAGAATTGAGGAAAGGGAAGACAAAGAATTGAAAATATTATGGAACCTGATAGATGCAGAAAAACATCTTACCTGATTGTAAACTTAAGTGTTTTTTATCTTAATGATATGTAACATGGGATATTTCGACTTATGTTACCTGACAATAGCGTCAAAAGTAAATATTCACCACTTAGTTTTTATAGCGAAAACATTGTTGAAAAATTTCAGATGCTGGTTTTATATTTATTTTTTTAATAAGAAGAGTTTTATGTTTGTTTATTCCATTCTCAGTTAACAAATAAATTAGATATGTTTGTAAGCGGAGAAAAAAAATTCGGCAAAATTAACGTACTGTAAGTATGGAGGCAATTTTGGAAAAAAACACCATAATTCTGGCAATAAAAACAAAGATATACAATGTTTGAACCATTCATTTGGCTATTTTTCTCTTCATATGGTAACAGTTTCCCGGAAATTCCAGTTTTCAGGTATCTAGTTCTTATTACTTTAGTAAAATATGCAAAACTGAAAAATGAATTCAACCGAATAAATGCTTTTCATGCCATTCTTTAATGTATAATGTATTTTAAAGCATAGATCCAGAAACACTATAAATTTTTCCATATTCTGGTAGTTTTGAAAATACATTTTTTATTAGTGTATGTTTAACTTTGCTAGCGACCAAAAGTTTTAGTTAAAAAATGGGAACTGCATGGATTTTCAATATATTTACTATAATATAATTGATATCTCAAAAGATAAACGTTTCACTTGGTTTTAGTTTCATTTGCTGCGAAATTAAAAATGTATTATAGTAAAATGCTTGGTTTAATATTTTTGTTTTCAGTAAGAAATGTGCATATTCCTCCCCCTCCCCCGGAGTAAAAACTACGCGTTTTGAACCAATGCGAGGCAGTTCCAATTCCGGATACGGCTTTATTAGAATTACATTTATTTCAAGATTTTCAATGTTAAGTTTTTTAATCAAATATAATTTTAAACTACTTGTAGAATGTGATGACAAGATAAAAAAAGAAGAAAGCTATGACCAAGTGTTATGGATAAAATCAAATTTTACTCCGTCCTTAACTTTTTTGCTTCTATAAAAATTTGTTATTCGTTGCAAAAATTGTATTTCGTAATGGTAATACAATATTTTAATCATTTAATTTTTGCAATTATTCAGGAAAAGTAAGAAATATCAAACAGATAAATAAACATAAAGTAGCATTCATACAGGTTTAATGTCACATCAAAATATCTGTTGCTTAACTTAATAAAGAACCAAATAATTAAAGATCAATGGGAAAGAATGATTTCCATTTTTCACACAACTGTCCATTTTTCATACAAATGATTATTGTATTGCCATTTGTTGCATTTTAAGGATTGATAAGTTTTAACTCATAGCCAACACGGAAAATTGGCTTTTCTTTAGAGTTAATTCACGTTGAAAATGATATAGGGCGCAAAAACGGTTCTAGACCAACTTGAAATTCATTTTTTTTTCTCAGAATCAGTTTTCAGGGATATAAAGCATTCTTCCCTCTTGATCGTCAGTTTTTTACGTAAGGGTAAAAAAAAATAAAGTAACATAAAAAATGTTAGTTAAACTAAACTAAACTCGACATCCCATAGATGGCCAAGGCTTACTGTGCCCACCTCAGTTTTCTTGACCTTGGGCTCTGGGGTGCAAGAGCAGATATTCCGGTTGGTCCCCAAGCATACTTGGTACTCATTTTATCTACCCCTTGAAAGGATGAAAGACTGAGTCAACTTTGCCCGGTCCGAGGATCGAAATTATATGTTAAGTTATTATTATTAGTTATTATATATTAACGAAAGTATTTGTTTAGCTGAGGAAATTTGTAATTGCTCTAGAAACAATAATTACAAACTGAATTATTTAAGTGCAACATAAGTGCAATTATTTGTCACAGCTGTGTCTCCTTAACCACGTTGTATGAAGAACAACGAAAATAAAACGGTAAATATCATATTTTCGAGAAATGCATACTGTTCAGATCAGTCAGTCAAACAATAATTTTCCATTATTTTATAGACGAAACCCTGGTCCAGCTGCTAATATTTACAAAAATTAAATATTTAAAAATTTTTTGAACACTTTCTATTTAGAAAGTACTCCAATCCTTTTTACCTCTCAATGCCATGTGAAAATACAAGTTTAAACAGTTTGCAGACCACTTGCGAATGAAATTTATTCCCGCATAATCATCATCATCAATGGCTCGACAGTCCAGTTAGTCTTCTCAAGTTAGTCCTCAACAGTCAAAAAGTTTTTTCCAGGCTAACCTTTTTTCTGCGAGCGTTTTACAGTTTTTGTTTTTTAAGACTTTTCTGGGTCATCTATCCATCTCGAATTCGGCCTGCCTCTTTTTCGTGTGCCAACTGGTCTGGTACTCAAAACTATTTTTGTGGTGCAGTCTTCGTCCGTTTTGATAACGTGAATTGCTTGATTTTATTTTTTAATTAAGTTAATAATGCTAGGTTCATTAGATGACTGATAAAGCTCTAAATTTGTTCCTACATAACAGCTAATCGAAATTTATTGTCTGTCAAAATTTTGACGATTTTCTACTTAGCTAGAATAGCAATAAGGTAATAAAAGCCTTGATATTTTTCTGCCCACTAATCTAGATCATATTTGTTATTTATAATAAAAAAAGGTTATTTTTATTTTAAATTTAAATTTCATCCGCTTTTTGACGCATACTTTCAGATACGAAGCGAAAAATTTTTTTTTTTGAAAAGAAGTACAGTTTTCAAGTAGTCTAAAGCTTATAGAATAATTTTATTTTTGCAAGGCATGAATTGAAAAGCATGGAGAACTTCTTTCATAATAAGAGTCTATTACGATCGAAAATTTCAAATGCTTTCGTTGAAAAGTAAGGCACACTAACTTTTTTTTCTCATTTTTTTTACAAAAGTAAAACAGTTTTTTGCGTATTACTATTTGAAAAACGTAATTATTATAAATTTTATTATAGATGAATTTATTAATTTTCATATTTGTATTGTTTTCCCTTCTCATTTACAGACAAAAAGATGAAACTCATTGATGATGCAATCTCTTATTATCGTGAAAATACCTGTGTGAGATTTGTTCCGAGAACTGATGAAGAGTACTACATAACGATATATAATGGATCTAGGTAAATATGTCAGATGAATTTTTCATATTAGTATATCATTTTTCTATGTGCAATAAGTACTGAAAATATTTTTGTATTTCGAAAATTTATTAACACTATTCTACATACCACTGGAAAAAAATCCACCCTTAGATATTTTAATTTTTTTGTTCCGAAAACCTCTAACTTTTTGCAAACTATGTAAAGTCTTAAAATATTCATATTCATCTATTTTAATTCCACTGTACTTAAAGTAAAGGAATGTACAGTAAATGAATGTACATAAAGTAAATAAATGTACATAAAGTAAATGTTCTATAAAGACCCTAACCTAAAGTTCTAGTTAAAACTGAAGCTAAGGAATAATAAACTGGGAGACAGTTTAATATTTGTGCAAAGATAAAGTAAAGATGCTATAGATATTTGAAAAATTGCAATTGAGCTAAAAAAAGGGGCAAAATATCTTTGCTTTAAAAAAAACTTTTAAAGTGCCTATTACCTGGTAAATACAAAGATAATTTTAGTAAGACTGGTAATAGTAATTGGTAATAATTTTAATAACTGATAATAATTTTCTGGTAAATAATTTTCGATTGTTAGTTCTAAAATTATAATTTGTAAATATGTAGCAAACAAATATACCATGTGGATCTCTTCAACTGGCAGAAGATGAACTACAAGATGGAAATTTGACATATGGAAAAAAATAACCTTTTTATTTATAAACCTAATATGATAGTTTTTCAAATTATGATTTGTGCAAAAATTATTTCATTTTAATTGCACTTTTGCAATTTTTTTCTAATTTTCTTGCTTTAAATAATGACAAATTATCTATAGTGTTTGTATTTATCTCTTTTGAGGTCTCTACATTTTAAGCTCTCGCTTATGTCAAAAAATAAAATAAAAAAAGAGGGAGGCAGAGATTTTAAATTTTGGATGATTTTATTAAAAATAGAAAAACCCTAACTCAAGTAAGATGAAAATAGTTTCCTATTTGAACTATTATTTTTATAAGCCTTCTTAACCAGTGAAATTACTTCACATTTATTTCCTTGCATTGAACCCAGTAACCTGTATTCCTACTTTTATAGATTTGGGTGATTCTCATGAAATATGACAATTTACAGTCACTTGCACCAAGATCTAATACTAAACTACTAAAAGAGCCTTTTTTAAATTTTTTTTTATAAATAGCATTACTGTTAGCATTTTAAAATGACTTTGCAATAGCATTGACTGTTTTGTATAGTTAAAAAATTTAATTGAGGTTCAAAATTTCGTGTTTCTGGCAGGTCCCAAACAATGTTTCCAATAAGAACTAGCTTCAAAACTTCCCATTAATTTTTCAATATCTAATTTTTAATATCAGCCAGTGTAAGCCTTTCTAGAATATACGCAGAGGGTATTATTTACAAAAACTTCGTTTAAAATTTTTTTCTGTCAATAATTTGCTTGTCCCAAAAAAATCTGTCATTTTCCTGGCTGCCTTTATTTAGCGGTTTATAACCAAAATAGATAGAGCCAGCAATCAATATCTTATGTGAATAGATTGATTAAATACCCTTCTATCTGAACATTTCTTGTTGCATCAATAAAGAACCAACTTTCGGGTTCAAAATCTATTTCAATAATTTTTTCAAGGTGAGTAGGTTTTTGTGTTGTCATTTTCTTGGCTTCTTGAAATTAGTAATAACGTAAACTACATAGATTTATCTGAGTTATTTCAAGATATCCTGTTTTCTGCAGAATATAAACGCCTTAGGCCAAAATATTAAAATAAAGTAAAAATGTATGCTATAAAATGGCGAATTTGTCATTATCCTTTCTGTCATTTTCCTGGCTTATGAATGCCGGGACATTGAAGTGTTACCAAAAATTTTTTTAACTGCTAACACTGTAAAGAGAGGAAGCAAATATTAATCTAACACCAAGTTTATGTATGGTTGTAATAAGATTGAATGTAATCAAAGTTATTTATTTATTTAATGATTGATAATTTCACACAATTTTATTCTGTACATATCAGCAGCAAAACTTTTTTTTGATTATTTCTACAGTAGATAATAGAATTAATTTAAGTTATTCATGGTCCATCTAACATAAAAGCTTAGGTTTTGTTGCTTACTAATAGCTTAAAATGACTGTTTTTTCAAACTTCTAAGCTAATATGTCATTCTCCTGGCATTCAAAATGTGGTGAATTTCTATTTTATTTTTTTTCTTGAGTGAATGTAAATAAACTACACTGCTCTCTGTAAGATATTAATAAATGTTTTACTAAATAAATAAACAAAAAAAAATTTGATTGTTTTGAAGACTTTAAACTTGAAGAAGTGTTTTGGTCCGAATTGTCATGTTTCCTAGGAATCACCCATTTATTTATTTTTCTAAATGCAGATGACTATTATTCAAATTTACGTAAACGTTCAGTTCCTTACGATTAACGTATTAACAAAAAATCGTTCAAAAACTTATAATTACTTAGTTTATAAACATTTCTTTGACTGATATAAACTGATTTTTAAGCTGTTTCATAAACTGATTTTTTTGCGTTGGCGTTTAAAAAATAAGCAATGAGGAATGCGAGGCAATCACGGTAATTATTGAGTGAAGCTTCTTAGTCCTTTAAATAGCTCAGATTCCGAATTTTTTTTTCTTTTTTACTTTAGATGTACCTCATACGTGGGAAAACAGGAGCTTGATAAACAGCCACAGCCCTTATCACTCACAGATGGGTGTGATTATGTTGGTACAATAATGCATGAATTCATGCATGCACTTGGATTCTATCATGAGCATAGCAGATCTGATAGAGATGAATATGTTGAGATCCGCTTAGAAAACGCAGATGAAAGTAAGTCGTTTTCAATTATAATTAATTTAAAGTACAGGCCCCCGATATTCACACAAGGCCTAAATTTCTTTTCAGAAACTTTTGTAGACAATACAATGTATGCGCAATAGACTTAACTATTAATATTCATTATTAAATATACCTTATAACGTTGAAAATGAATGGACTTTATCTGATAAATGCAATTTATCTGAAAAAAATGAATAGTGCACTTTGGCTATTAAATGGACAAGTTTACATAAATGTACCTGATATAGAAAAATTTAAATAAAAATCAATAAAGAATGTGTAAAGAACTTCTAGTTTAAACTGTTTTTATTTCAATAGAACTGAAATCAGCAATTACTATTGATCTTTTAAATAACTGAAAAATACAATTGTCTTTCTACAATGGATAATGGTAAATTTATGCTAAAAAAATCATTTTTTAAACGTTTCTCTCCAAGTGACTAATAGAAAATTTTGAAGGAATTTAATTTTAAAACTGGAATACCCCCACCCCCTAAGTGAAAGAGAGACTCCCTCTAACCTTTTTCTTACTGCTGGAGATCATTCATAATTACATTGGTTACTCGTTGACCCAGTAACAGAAACCTCTGTATTGATCTACTGCACACTGAAAATATTCCATTTTTTTTTGTTAACGAAGTAAAACTAAGGCTATCGAGATCGTTAAGTTGTTAAATAATTGTTTCAAACTTTTAGTGCTTAAAATTGGTACGTTTGAACCATTCTTGAGTCAAAATTTTGGTAAAATTTTTGTACATGAGCAAAAATACTGAAAATATAAAATTTTCTTTCAGCGTCTTCAGCAGGCAGTATTTCGACTAATATGTTTCATTTTCTTTACCTTATTAACGGTTGATAATTTTTTTTTCATCAAATGGCAGGAGCTGAACATTATTCTTAGCCTTAGAAGATGCCGGAATTGTTACTCATTTCGCGTTACCCAGTGGGCACCTGTGAACCAAAGTCACAGAAGCGAGCAACATTACTCACGCTACGCTGCCACAAACCCGTTTATAGGGTGGGCCACATTCACACATCACACACAACTGAGGGCAACATATAGAGAGAGAAACATCCAGGTCCAGAGCGGGATTTGAACCCGCAGCCATTGGCTTTGCCGTTAGGCGCGCTAACCGCTCGGCCACCTGGCCGGCTAACGGTTGATAATAGAACGTATCTTTAATTTCTTGAAACGATCAAGTTCATTATGCATTTTTCAACTCACCATCGTAATTTCAAGTTTCTAAGCAATATAGAGTTTGGGGAGCGAAACAAAATTTGTAAAACAAAACTTAAGAGTGCAATACTTTTAGAACATATTTGAATTTGAAAAAAAAAATTCTTTGTTAATTTCATAAACAAATATGGCACTTTAAATATGCCAATTCTCAAATCTGTAGCTGCATTCCTGCGGTTCCAATGGTATTTTCCCAACAAGTTTAACACCTAATAATTTTCGAACTAACTACTGAATGTTAAGCTCTTCCTTTAGTGCTGATGATGTCCTTTAGTGCTGATGCTTTAGTGTAGTTGTTCAATCAACTCTGAATAGTCCATAGGTATTGAACTACTATAGTATATAACAGTCCAATACCAGAACATATTTTTCAATAAAGTTTATTGCTAAAAGCTCTCTTAATTATCATTGAAGCGATTATTGACGATGTACTTGAAGTAGGCGTTGAGCTGATAACTGAGGTTCTGAAAGAAGAACTGGAACAGAAAAAAGGTGATTTAAAAGCAAAATAATTTCTTTCGTTTGCTTTCTAAATTTCATTAGTACTCGGAAATATCTGTCAAAGAAATATCTATCAAAATCTGTCAGAATGAGTTTAAAAAGCTTAGCGTTCGAGCTATATAATTTTGAATTTTCAAATATTTAAACATTTGTAATTAGTAATATGCTAGTTTTTTTCATTCACTTTCAAAATTCAATAATAATTTGTAACTCTTAATATCTCCACAGAGGAAATTAGTTTATAGGGAATTAGTTTATTCGCATAATCTTTGTGATTTATGTCCCAAAGACAAGGATACGTTTGAAAAATTTAAAAAAAAAATACATATATCACTAGAATTCCATTTAAAACTAGTCATAGTTAGAAGATTAAACCAAGTTTAAATTTAAAAGATAAAAATTCAGGATGCGTCAGAATCAGCACTTGCATTTTGCTTACTAAATGGTTGCTAGTTAAGATTGAAAGTATTTGGAAAGTACTATATGACACGTTTCAACTAATCTGGTTGCTCCACTAAAGTTGAAAGGTTTTAACTTCAGTTGCTAGTTGAAAGCAGGTTGAAAGCAACCGGGCAACCATCATATGACACGTTTCAACTTCACCGAAACCGCTAGTTGCTTTCAACTAGGTTGCCTCGTGTCATATAGCCATTTGCATTTCGAGTGCATTTTTTTCTGCACCTTTGTAATTTCAAGTCGTATAGTTTTATTTTTCGCAGCGAAGCGTAACTGTAAGTTGAACAGCCAAAACAGTACCGGACTTAACAATTTTTGATAGAGATATCATGACATTTTTATTTATTATTTATTTATTTCTTACAGAGATGCATGGACAATTTTTTAAATTATCGAAAGCTTTAGAAGTTCGTTATACTGGATATGACTACGACTCCATCATGACTTATGGCAGCAAATCATTTTCCAATAATGGCAAAGATACTATTGTACCCTTACAAAAGGGCGTGGTTCTTGTAGATGCCTTTAAGAAATTTAAGATGACAAAATCTGACTTAAAAAGAGTCAACAGAATGTACAAGTGCCAAGTTTAAATAATGTTAATCTTCATGTACTGCTTATGAAAGAAAAATAAATTGTTATAAATAGAACAATATCATGTTTATTGTATCTGAAATTTAAAAAAAATTCTTATTAGAGAATTATTTAATACGTAACGTCTTATGAAGCACCAGTTCCGGCATGATACAAGATCTGTATCAGAGTGGATTAAATAAAATACTGCAAGGAATGCTTCAGTGTTTCTGCTATAATACTGGATTTAGTATTTTACCAGAAACGGTGTTTCGTAAACTGGCATCATACTGTTTACAGTATATTACTTCATTAAGTACCATACCACGCCCAGTATGGTACCGGATCAATTTAGTAATATACTAGCACCAGCATTATACTGGAACTAGTATATACCAGTATCATACTTGAACCAGTATTTTATAAGTCTGTATAAATTTAACACGTGTATAGTTTGATACTAATCCAGTTTCATATTGAAATCTTAGTAGACAGGTTTGTATAGGAAAATAAAACATTGATATCAATTGAGAACATCTTTTAAAAAGATTGGAGAGTACATGAGATTTGAAGCATTGATATTATTCAATCCTCATCAGACTTAGGTAATAAATCGTATAATCAACCGTATTTAAGTAATAAATAAAACATAATAGAGATTAATACACATACCAATCAATAAAAGGTGTTTTAAGAAAAGCAATAAATGGAAATATTTTTATAAGACTCTTTTATAAGTATTAAAAATTATGCTAGTAATGTTGGGGATTTAAAAAGACACTTATGTTCCTTACAACAATTTTATTTTGGCTTTAGTAGGACTCAAAATTGATAAACACCGAAAAACACAAATCGGGATCCTGAAATTTTCCATCAATCGACCAAATTAATTTTGTGTTATTGGAGAAAGATTATAATTTTTAGCTAGGATCAATAATACAAAATATGGGCACCTCAAAATCGAATCTATAATATTAACATGTAAGGGTCCTAGATAGAAGTGAATTTTGGCTCAATATTAAATGCCAAAGTTCAGAAATACAAACTGTAGACGCCTCTATATAGTCCTCAAATGAAAGTCTATGAGGACCTTAGACAAAAATGAATCTTAGTCCTTTTAGATTGATATTAAAAGCCACCTTAATGCGAATATGACAAAATGCCGGCAACCCTATTGACCCTATGTTATAAGCCTATTTTGGGTCATACGTATGAATGAGTTATGGTCCAATATTGAGATCCATGAATACCAACATTACAAATAATAGAAATCCCAATATTGGCTATATATTGTAAGTCCATTAGGGACTTTGACAGAAATGTATCAAGGCGTTTATTCGTTTATTTTTATCAATAGGGGAAACTCTATCAATATTGAATTTCAATCAATATTCAAATTCATCAATTGACAAGCTTAGTAGAGATGATTTTTAAATGAATGTTATCCAAGGAGTGACACTCAATAATCCAATATATAACGCCATATTTTTTCTTGAATAATTTTTTTTACCTTAAAAAATTTTAAGACGCAAAACTTGATAACAAAAGACTGTGTAGTTTGCATAAATAAATAAAAAATAATAATTTAACTCCTACAATTGGCATTTACAGCTGTTTACATTATTTAGTTATTAAACGTTACGGGCTGAATTTGCGTGTTGGAAAATTTCTCATTTCTTCATGTTTGTAATTTTTTTTAATTCAAAAATCCAGTATAAAGGTTTTGAAATAAGAACTGCAAGTAATTAAAATATTTTTTGTATCTGTCAACAATCAAATATATGTCAGCAATCATCAGTATTTTATTGTTTGTTGTTTCTGTGGAGAAAAAGGAAAACAATTCTATACACACTCACGTTAGTTTTTATTTTTTCAAATATTGTTATTACCAGCGGGAAGAAAAGTGACGAAAACTAGATTATTCCATCTCAAACTTCATTAAGAAGTGTATTTTGAAACATATTGCTTAAATTTTATGAGTTATTTAAATTCTGACTTTTAATTACACTTAACCATTGTTGTAGCTTCCAACGGAAAAAAACAAGTTCAGACCAGCCTGTATATATATATA